AATAATAATAATAATAATAATAATAATAATAGGGCCGGTCACGGTAGCCGAGCGGTCTAAGTTGTCCCTATGCTTAATTAATTAAGCACTACGCCATGGAGGCGTATGGGGGAGTGGATGTATAGATCCACATTTTCTTGACCTCGGCAATAGTTGGAGGTGAGTGGTCAGCTTCCCGGTACCCATTGGATAGGAGGCTGGGTGGACCCCAGAGCCGGTAAGGACGATTTGGAGAAGAGAATTGTTTTTACCCTACCGGGACTCGAACTCCGACCCTTCGGTCGTCCAGCCCGTAGCCAGTCGCTATACTGACTGCGATATCCCGGCTCCTCACGTCCAGCCCGTAGCCAGTCGCTATACTGACTGCGCTATCCCGGCTCCTCACGTCCAGCCCGTAGCCAGTCGCTATACTGACTGCGCTATCCCGGCTCCTCACGTCCAGCCCGTAGCCAGTCGCTATACTGACTGCGCTATCCCGGCTCGTCACGTCCAGCCCGTAGCCAGTCGCCATACCGACTGCACTATTCCAGCTCCTCACTTAACAACATACAATAACAAAAGTATGTATGCTATGAAATTTACATGGCGTAGTCACGCTTTATGTCTGCATCTCCAAGAAACGTGAACCAAGGCCTCGGGGTTGGCCTAAGTAAAACTGCAAAAAGGGCGCATTTCGAAAATCAGTAACGTATCAGGTCAGGTCAGCGTTCTCTTCGTTTACAAGACTCACATTTCTTCAGTGTATTATATTTCATTTTGAGAAAAGTGAGATTTTGTCAGAAAGAAGAAGGATCGGCGTTTATGAGCAGTCACAACAGAAACTTGTAACAGATGCAGTTTATTTTGCTTTTTTCCCCCCACATTTTGCGGTCAGGTTCCTTTGTTACTGCATCGCAGGATTTATTTGGCAGTTCACACCGTGTAAGCTATCTCATGTACCCACTCGAAACATGCCTTGAATACATACCTGGTAGAACGTGTCCAACATACACCGAGCCAGGCTTCACTTGGAAATAATTCTATTGCGTTGTGCAGAAAACATCGAAGTCGTCTGTACGGTACTGTTTTGTGACCTACTTTGAGACCAGGCAGTTGAAGTAAATGACTTACCTTTCCACAGTTGATGTATTCTACAGCTGTCTCACGAAAGAAGAAGTATACGAAATCGCCTTGTGTCATGGAACTCACAAAGTTCGGTGCTGAAATTAAAGAAAGGAACATGTAAATAAGAGTAGCACAGTACTTAACTAATTAAGCACTAGGCCATGAAGGCGTATAGGAGAGTGGATGTATAGCTCCACATTTTCTTGACCTCGACACTAGTTGGAGGTGTGGTCAGCTTCACGGCCCTGACGTTTTACCCCCCGGGGAAAGAGCCGCCGGTACCAAATGGACTTCCGCTGACTCCAGTAATCCGGCTTTCAGGAGTCCAAAATATGGACGATAACAGAACGACAGGAAGCAATAAGTGAAATTGCAGAAACGACAATTTTTGAGGCTACACAAACATGGACCAAATGAGAAATACCAAAATTAGGAAAGAATTGAATATTTTAAATCTAAATAGCAAAATTATAAAATACAGATCACGTTGGAAATACACATTCTACGAATGGATGACAGGCGAATTCCAAGAAAATTTCAACATACATCTCAATAAGACGACGAAACACAGGGCGCTCACAGTTAAGACAGAGGGACAAACACCAACTTTGAGAGGACAGAACAGACCAAACATGTCCTAAACCATGAACTTGATATTAACACTTCACATCGATTAATGGCATGACATCGAACGCCGCAGTTGGGTGGTTACCGGTCCTACTTCGTATTCTGGAGGTCCCACGTTCAAATCTCAATCCGACAACCGGCTCTCCTAACTGAGGAATTTCGTGATATCCCTCAGTCCGTCCAAGCAAATTCCGCGAGAAGAACCTCAAATTAGGCAACGACCGCTTTCGTAAACTTCCTTTCCAACTCATTAGCTACAGATTATCCTGTTCACACGTAGCTACTAACAGCAGCACTGTAGAAACAATATATGCTAAATAAACAAATAAATAAACAGGAACTCTGATGCCAACATAAGTATTTTATTACAAACAAAACCAACTGCACTTCGTTCAGTTCCTGTTCAATTCACGCCATCTTCAATCTTCCCTCCAACAGGCTGCTTCATTCACGTATCAGAGTGGGTCCACTTGACCTAGCTAGACAGGTGCCATTCAAAGTTCTAGCGGGCTAGCCAATCCTCGTGATGAATTATGGGCTACATTTCAGAGAGTGCTTTCAATAGCAGCAAACTCATACACTTAAAAATCCATATCAAATACTCCCTTTTTACACATGACACGGTACCAGATCCAATTCATTTTGTCTGAATTAAAAAAAAATATCGAACTGAATTCTATACTGGCAGGAGCGTAACTTTCCAAACATAGTCTGAGTTCGACGTGACGTTTTAAGATTTATTTGTCCGGGCAAATAACCAACCGCCTCCCCCCTCAAAAACAATAACAACGAAAACAACTTCATTTACTTTCTTTCCTTTCTTCCTTCTATGTTCTTATTAGTTATGCAACTTCTTCCTCCTCTCGGTTAGGCTCATAGCGAGTTTCTTGAAGAACCTATGCCCCAATAGGCTTCAAATAGGGAACCCTTGGTTGGGAACATTCCGCTGAGGAGAGCAAAGGGAAAGCTACCCCTACTACTGTTTAATTAAGCACCACCTCGTGATGACAGACGAATATGAGGGAGTGGAAGTATAGATCCCCGTATTCTTAACCTCAGTCCAGATAGAGATGGTCAACTTTACGCCCAGGCAGCTTTGCCTCCTGGAAAATAGATTCCGGTAACTTTGGGTTACCAGGACCAGTCTGAACATTTTGGGAAAAAAAAAGTAAAATAGCTTCCTTGCCAAGAATCGAAGCCCGATTCCTCGGCCGTAAAGCCCGTAGCCGGTCGTTATACCGACTGAGCTATAGTGACTCCAGCTCAGAGATAATAGGGCCTAAAAGATAGTAAGTAGTGGGAGGATGGAAAAAATTACGTACTGAGGAGCGTCACAATTTATACTGTTTAAAAAATATTATGTTGACTAAGTTAATTAAGGATGGCATAGGCGAGACATGTAACACGTACAGGCAAAATGAAACATTTAAAGGGAGATTCTGACATTTGAATATCTGGCCGTATACAGGAAACGAATCCTAGGGAAGATGCGGTGATAGCGTGAATAGCGTGGTATGGATTAAACTGACTCAGGACAACGTCCAGTGGCAAGATCTTGTGAACGTGGTAATCAAACTTCGGGTCCCACAGAAGGCACGATCTTTCTTGACCAACTGAGCGAATATAACCCATGGAGTTGGTGTTATTTGTCTTAATTTTAAGATCGGATCGCTGAACACTGAGTGTAGTGGCATTCCCACGAATGTTGGACCGAGTGCGACAGAAAACCGGTAAGCGCTAATGACCAGACTCCATGCCCGACATGGGTCTACAGGTCGGAAATGTTGGCGCCCCAGCACCGCGGTTCCACAAAGCCACATATATATATCCTCTGTGGAGACTGAATCACATTCCCACGAGCTTCGTATAAAGATGAATCTTCATGTAGAATTTCCCAGCTTATGTCTTCCCTCCACTTGTTGTAACCTATTTATGACTGATTCAATTTATTAAAACAAGAAGGCATCAAGCGAGAGGCACTCAACTTTCACAACTTACTACAATAAGAAAGGCCAATGCTCCAATGTGCAGGCTGCCAGTGCCTCGGAAACAGATTAATCGTTCGTTCGCGGTAAGACATCAAATAGAGGCAAAAGGACAAAAAAAAAAGGTAAATCTATCCCTGTAACAGGCCGTGGATGCCCATAGGGTCGTGAGACATCGAGGATTCCACATTTTCTATAAAATCGGCTCACAGTTGGCGGTGAGGTTTTCAGCCTTAAGTGAGAACCGCCCTTTTACCCTAAGGAACATTCCTGGTACTCATTTCTGTTAGAGGCTGAGCCGAACTCAGGGCCATGGTGCGGCTGGAAGGATTAGATCAAGTGAAAAATCCAATGATCCCATCGAGAATCGAATGGGCTGTAGATTGAAATTCGGGAGGTAGTCGGTTGGCATCTCGGGTGAGTTACCTATTTTTATCGATTTCTATGTAATTATGCCAAGAAATTGGATAGGGGACTGGACGGGCCCCAGAACCGGTCTGGATGACGTGCAGAGGAGAAAAATCTTTTCGCCACCGGGACTCGAACTCCGACCCATCAGCCGTTTAGCCCGTAGCTATCCAGAGTACTCTACAGAATTAAGATGGATATTATAAGAGTGCAAAGAACTTGTAACAGCTGGAGAGAAGAAATTAGGGGCGCCAAAGGAAACGGGGCCGGTCACGGTAGCCGAGCGATCTAAGGCATGTACTGTCTTCGCGCTCGGAATCCGGGATCGTGGGTTCGGATCTGTTTCCTGTGAGGTACGAACTGAATTCTTATATATTATTCTTATACATTGCCGGTCACGGTAGCCGAGCGGTCTAAGGCATGCACTGTCTTCGCTCGCTTGGAAACCGGGATCGTGGGTTCGAATCCCACTCAGGGCATGGATGTTTAGTTTGTGTGTGTTTGTGTACAGGTAGAGACCTTGCGACGAGCTGATCACCCGCCCAAGGAGTCCTTCCGAATGTGTAAGATCTAGAAAAACCGAAGTGAACGGAGAAGTTCATGGAGGTAGGCCTAGGCCCACTGGGGCTGTAGTGCCAAAGAAAAAAGGAAGAAAGAAAAAAAAAAGGAAACGGGAAAGGAAGTACACACAAACAGATAACCCTCACGTTGCACTCACCGTTGAGGCTCATGGAGTCGTACTGTTCTGTCTGCAGAGACTCCCTGTAGATGATCGGGTCCATCCCGGAGAAGTCCGCTACAGTGCCGGTGTAGATATCGCCATCTGAAACAGACGGGAGCATAACCTCAGCATATTTTGCAAGACCTCTCCTCTCCTCTTAGCTAAAAGCCTGACGTCTGAAAGGTATCAAGCAACAAGGACACATGGCCATGCCATATCTCAGGCGGTTAGCTGCCGGCTTCCAACCACGATCGGAGGGGTTCTATCCCAGATCAGGTCATTTGGGATTTTTAGTGGGCGAATTGAAAGTGGGGCAGATTTTCTCCGAGTACTTCGGTTTCCTTGTTCCATCAAGAGCTGGTACAATGGGCCCACTAGTGGGCTGCGTACCATTTGACTCGGATTCACCCCACCCTACGAACTGATGAATAAACTTGGCGAAATTACATGTTCTTCCCTTCGGGATTTCCAATCAAATTTTACATACATTTCTCATCGCCCCATGCCTTCCATATGACCTGCCCATAGCATTAATCTAAATTTGATCTTCGTAATAATATAGGTCAATGTGTAACATGCAAGCTATAGAACTCCTGGTTATACAATTTCTTCAGACTTGTCGGTCCATCCCTCTTAGGACCAAATATTTCCTTCAATCTTCAATCTACGCTGAGTCTGAAGGTTTTTGCCAGCTATCCAACTGGCGGTGCGCGGCCCGTGAAAGCATCCAATTTACCAAAAGATGTTAAAGCTTCCCTCCCTTTTACAGCAGGGCACAAATCTTTTTGAAAATTTTATTAAAAATGCTAAAAATATCTCATGTAACTTTAATTGGTTTCACACGGCACTTCATGAATAAATTAGGAAAAGGTAATTTTCTCTGTGTTTAGTTACGCACCACGCCATGAAGAAGTTTGACCTCGACACTAGATGAAGGTGAGTGGTCAGCTTCACGTCCCAGGGGCTCTACCCCCGGTACCCATTGGATAGGAAGCTGAGAGAAAAACTTTGCCCTTGCTGGAAGTCGAACTCCGGGCCGTCCAGCCCGTAGACCGTTGTTATACCAACTGAGCTATCCCGGCTCCAACGAATAAATTAGAAAATGTGGAATTAGCTTAACTTCATGAACGTATCAACTGTCGCTACGATCTAGCAAGCCTTCAGCGGCTGTGTGACGTCCTCAGGATGTCTGATTGGTTGACCGTCCGCATTAAAAGCAGGCTTCTATCTGTTTCTGCTGCTTATGCGCTAGCTAATCAGTGCGTCAGCAGCCCTACAGTAACTTTTCACTGTTTTCTGAAGTAACGAATTACTTTTAGCACACATATCATTAAGGGAGAGAGATTATGTAAAGTTCGATGCCAAAAAAAAATTGTAAAATCTAAAACAGAGCAATTTGAAAATATTTATCGCCTTCGTGGGGTGAGGCTTCATTAGTTAAGCACAGGGACAAGTTTACTTTTGCCGTAACTGATCAGTACATTATATAATTATTAATTTACAGTCTTGTTAGCTTCGTTTCATGGACTAAAGCACTCGAAGGCAAGTAGGAATCGTACAGTTTTCACAGGGCAACGTCCTATTTCTGCTCGATAAGCCAAGTCACTGGACAACATTATCACCGCCCTTACAGAATATTATTGTGAGATCTGCAGATGTTTCGGCTTGTTACTTCAGAGCCACTGTAATGGAAAAAAGGGCAGCTTGGTTCTCTTTATCCCTTGTCAACATGGCCAGCCGGATGGCGACACAATTATTTGATTAGGAGTAGGACAGCCGCGAAATAAATCTCAGCTACCCAGAAGCGGTATGCAACCCGACCGTCTTGTGTGTCCCATGAGGCTGTGCCACAATCCCGCAAACCCTGCGGAGGTTACAGGCGCAGCTGGTGCACCCTGCTCTTCACATTCGTGTCCAGTTCTGGGCGCGTGATCTTGTACTTGCCAGTAAATTGCTGCTAAAGGAAAGAAGGAAGCAGCATAGTGTCGGCCATACAAGCAATTCAGGCTGTGAAGCTTTGTAAATCTTCCGCACTTGTCTCACTTCACATTGTGCAGGTAGTCCTCCGTGATGACGTAGCTGGTTCCGTAATTGGATGGATGGTTCCCATGTGAGCTTACATTGATCGAAAATGTTCCCAACGGGAATTGATCTCGGATCCCCTACTAAATTACTCATGGATACTTTACTTCGTGTCCAGCGTCACGAAAGTTAACGGCGGACCAATTTATGTTCAATTGTAGAATTACATCCTAAACTAGAGAAGATTAAAATTGAAGTAATTTCATCTCTCGTCATATTAAATTCGGTGCTGCCGCGGATCATGGTTCCTTTTTCCCTTTTTTATACAGTAAATGATCGCATGAAAAGTTCAAACCGAAACAACAATTCGCGAAATGGATTATGTTCTTTAAATTGAATCACGTGACCACAGAGATCACGGTATACCATTATTTGGATTGCTGTGATACAAACTGACACACAAAATCATTTTGAATCTCACGCTTAACGGCAACGGACAAATGATACCATATATCATATAACAGTCGGCGTACACAGATACACCCGAGTAAATATGTGCTTACACGACTATGATTTAAAAGTACGAAACATGTCATGATATTTGTTGCTCACACTGTTGGATATTATAAAACATATGTCAAACTATTCCGCCACCGTATCGGTGAAAGTAAACAATTTACTCTATTTTCGTTTAGGCGTTATCAGAAAATAAGGTAAACACAAGTATTTTTACTTACAATTCGTCTTCCTCTCCATATTTACATTTATAAGATAACTTTCATGTATGTGAAATTACCTGTAAATAATTCAATAATTTCCTTATATTCTTAGAAAGAGGAGGTTAAAAAATGTTCTCGCATTTCCGTTTTAGAAAATGTTTACTGCCATCATATTATATACAATTTTTCGATAATGTTATAAATTTAACAACTTCCTTAGTGTTTGGGTGTATTGAACATTTTGATATCTCGCCTAGTTAAGATTTAGCGCAGTGCTATGTACTGCCGCTCACAAAACTAAAATGTACGAATTTTCGCTGGATGTGTGACACACTTAGTTTCTCGAGGTAAAATAAAAACTGTCGAATTAATTAAGTTAACGAAATGCAACACCCATAAACGTCTCTATTCACCGTAAAGATATAATAATTGTAGATAGACTTTAAATGGTTCTGACGATGGTGTATAACACTCGGGATTACTGGGTTTTTAGGCTTTTTCCATCGCCCAGTATGCTATAGTCTAGAAAACACGACGTTTCGAAATTTGGATCTGTTTCCGTCCTAAGGTGAGGAGGGAAGACACCTACTCAATTGGGTCCCTTACTTACTTACTCACGGAGCTGAGCACTTCTGGAGGAGCCGTCATTTCTGCAGCTACTCAAGAATTTCCCAGAATTCTACGGAACCTGAAGGTACATTACCGTTTTCACAAGAGCCCTCCACTGGTCCCTATCCTGAGCCAGATCATCCAATCCATACCATCCCATCCTATCTAAGATCCATTCTGATACTGTCCACCCACCTACGACTTGGTCTTCCTTGTGGTCTCTTTCCTTCTGGCTTCCCCACCAATACCCTATACGCATTCCTCGTCTCCCCCATTCGTGCTACATGACCTGCCTACCTCATCCTCCTTGACTTGATCATTCTAATTATACTTGGAGAAGAGTACAAGTTATGAAGCTCCTCATTATGCAGTTTTCTCCAACCTCCTGTCACTTCATCTCTCTTCGGTCCAAATATTCTCCTCAACACCCTGTTCTCAANGCCACATTCTCAAAACATCTGTTTCCTGTCTTTATGTCACGATTTTGCCCTGCATTTTGGTGACGAGACAGTAACATATACTTAGTTTTCTCTGTGTTTACTTCTAGACCCAGAGAAAAAATCTCGATCACTTGACAACCCCTGTCAGATTCACACAGCGGTTCAATCACCTCAGACCAGGATAATACGGACTCTACCACAATTTCTGTTGCATATTTCCTTGTTATNAGGAGGAAATTAAGAGGAAATTGAACTCGGGTAATGCATGCTACAATTCAATCCAGAACATTTTGTCTTCTCGTCTGTTGTCCAAAACATAAAGATTAGAATATACAAAACTATAATTTTATCTGTGGTTCTGTATGGGTGTGAAACTAGGTCTCTGACATTAAGGGAGGAACATAGACTGAGGGTGTTTGAGAACAGGGTGTTGAGGAGAATATTTGGACCACAGAGAGATGAAGTCACAAGAGGTTGGAAAAAACTGCATAATGAGGAGCTTCATAACTTGTACTCTTCTCCAAGTATAATTAGAATGATCAAGTCAAGGAGTGTGAGGTGGGCAGGTCATGTAGCACGAATGGGGGATATTGGTGGAAAAGCCAGAAGGAAAGATACCAATGGGAAGACCAAGGCGTAGGTGGGTGGACAATATTAAAATGGATCTTAGAGAGATAGGATGGAATGGTATGGATTGGATTGATCTGGCTCAGGATAGGGACCAGTGGAGGGCTCTTGTGAACGCGATAATGAACCTTTGGGTTCCATAAAATGCTGAGAAATTCTTGAGTAGCTGCAGAACTGGCGGCTCCTCCAGAAGGTCTCAGCTAGATGAGTAAATAAGCAAGTATGTAAGTAATTTCCTTGTTATATCCCGCCGAATTAGCCTTGTCTCAGGTGATTAAGTAGCTGTGTGAATCTGACAGGGGTTATCCAATGATTGAGATTTGCTTTCTCTACGGGACCCAACTGAGGAGGTGTCTATGCCCCTCACTTGAGGACGGAAACACATCCAGTTTCCTAAACGTCGTGTTTTCTAGTATCTAGAATACCGGACAATGGAAAAAGTCCCAAAACCTAGTAACTCTTACTAATAATTACAGTGGAACCTCGCTTAACGAGCATAATCCGTTCCAGAATCTTACTCGTAATGCGAAACACTCGTTAAGCGAAACAAATTTCCCATATAAATTAATGTAAAATACGAAAATGCGTTCCATGCCCAAAAAAAATACTCAAAAAATTTTATGTATAACGTTTATTCAAAGAAAATTATATATACATTGTTAAGGAGTGTGAATCATCTTCATCT